CTGTTAGTGGCCAATTAAAAAAAAACCGTTTTAAAAAAAAAAAAAAAAAAAAAAAAAAAAAAGACAAGATAATGTTGAATAAAGGTAACATTTCTCATGAAAACTTAACTTTTGTAGACATGAAGTAATTTACCTGTGCGTTTCAATGACATATCTAGTCTTTACAGCAAAGAAAGCCTGCACTTGCCTAGTCTACGCAAATTATTAGTCAGACCCGGGCTAAATTTGTGCATAGTAACACCAAGGAACCTGTGATAGGTTTTTAAGGCAGAATATTCTGTGAATTTGACTAACACTAGAGCAGACGTTCTCAACTTCCTATTATTATGCAAAATTTACCGTCTGGCAAGCTGGGACTCAGACATTGTCTTTGTCCTTGTACAACCGAACGTATTACTGACCCTCCACTAAAGATTTATCTCCACTTCCTAGTTACCATCTTACTTTTCCCGTTTTAATTTGAACAGGAAGTGGCAAATTCCTATCGGATAAAAAGTCATTCTTCCTCCCCAATGTGAAATAGTTCTAAATGAACGTCAAACAAACGAACCAAAGCCTGAGCTCTCATATTAGTGGAACGAAGGAAGTACCTGCTAGTGTGTAATAAAGAGGACTGAAGTAAAGCAAGATACTAGCAGTATTTTCAAGTTTGGATAACAGATTGAACTGCTAGATATCTCGATGTTTTTAGGACTGCTACTAAAATTATCCCTTTTTTAATTCCTGAAAGACACTCCAGTTAGCTAAAACTTCCTTCATGTGAAAGCAAACTACAAAGGTCTTCAATAATGCAAACACTTCTGCACAGGACCAGGTTAAGACCACATGGTAAGAAATAGGGAAGTTCCTTTTGTTGTCATCTTACGTATGGAAGATATGCAAGTCACATCAACCGGCATCATCTTCAAGACTAAGCTATTCTGAATCAGACTGACCGTTAACATTAGTTTTAATCATACACAGGGTTCATTCAGACTTTATGATGAAAGCCCATACTAAAATGCTCACATATTTTAAAACGTACATGTATAAATAAGTTACAGGTACGTGTCAGGTGACAAATTTGTAGGTAACACATTAATGAGAAAGTGCTGAGGAATAGACTAAAATATAGAAACTGTTGCTTCATAGTTACCTGTTTCTGATGTACAAAAGAAAAAACATCCATTCTAAGATGCTACAGACAAAGATGCATTACTATGTCTTGAAAAGAAGCTCCATGTTTCTCAGATGAAGTCCACATTTCAAATACAAAGTTCTGCGTACTGTTTGATATATCAATTTCTTTGAAAGGCAGAAAGAACATTTACCTGTTATCAGACTCTTCTACTATTTTTAATGGAAGAGCACCAAAGAGCTTACAGTTAGCTCTCCTATCCTGCTCAACTTTTGTTCCTGCTTCCTCTTAATTGTACTTTGGTTGTATTTAAAATCTATTTTGGTCAATTTCTCTTGATTCTACAAAATCTTCCATCTGGTCAGCATGTGACTGCATGTTGTGCTGTCATAGGGCTTATTTATCCATAAGCTTGAGTGATTCTAGTTCACACCACATTGTGTGAACTAAAACAAATTCAAAGAGCCAAACAGTTTAAAGCTCAAATTGAGCACCTGGAGACAAAGGTAGAACTGGGATAGCTTCTTCATTA